TTTTTTTTTTTTTTTTTTTTGTAGTGGTACTGGGGATTGAACCCAGTGCCTTCTCCCTGATCTACATCTGTCCGCAGCCTTTTAAAAATGAGACAAGATCTGATTAGGTTGGCCCGGCTGAGTTTGATCTTTCAGTCCTCCTGCCTCACCCTCCCACAGAGGTGGGATAACAGGTGTGTACCAACCATCCTGTTTGTTAAATGTTTTAAGTGATAGGGCTGGTTGAATGTGAGATGACTAAAGCTTAAAATACAGATCTAGTAATTGGTTTTAGGGACTGATTTGTAGCCAAAATGAGACTTTAGAGAGAACAGTGACTTTTAACACTTTCTCCTAAGAATGAAAGACGTTGTAAATGTCAAGGTTAGCTAATCAGAACATTTACTCCCACTGTGAGAACAGATAAGGTGACAGAGCGACCTGAACATTTTGTCCTGGTTAGTGAAGCTCATGCCTGGCTCTTCAGGGCTTATGGATGAGTGTTTTCCCCTCATAGGCAAAACTATTCCTTTGAGTTAAACTGGGAACACGGTGAATAGCCTAAAACCTTAAAAATTAATTTTCTCCCTATCTCCTCCCCATAACACTGTCCTCGTAATAGATAGCTGTCAGTTTTGTTTGATTTTCATTAGGCCCCTTTGTAAGTGATAAACTGGAGTCCTGAAACTTAGGGAACTGCATTTGCACCTGTGATCCCTTTATGTAAACTTGCAGAATCTTTTTTCATCTAAGAACCGCATCTTTTGTTGATAGATATGCAATGGTAATATCGGTACGTCTTTACCAGCATAGAATCCATGTAGGTCACTCAGCCTTCCTTTTTTTTTTCCCCCTGTTTACTTATCTTAGTTTTTCACTAGCCCTCTTAGTACCAAGTACTTTGCTTTTAAGATATAAGTGTAAGTTTTGTTTTGTGCTGCTGGGGATATGTTTGAGCCAAACCTTGTGTTTACCTGCAGGAAACTTCAATCCATCTTCTTAGTATATTTTTGTTCACCCCCTAAACTGGAGCACCCTCTGCCCAAACACACTTTTAAGACATCGCCTTACTAAGTTGATGAACTTCCCTGGCTGGACTTAGGATCCTCCTGCCTCAGTGTTTCTGGAATTACAGTCATGTGTCACCACACAGATGATTTTGTTCTTTCTTTTATTTTATTTTGGCTGTTTTGAAACAGGGTCTCACTGTGGAGTTCAGGCCAGGCTTGAACTCACCGTGTAACCCAGGCTGGCCTCAAACTTGCAGTGATCCTAGTGCCTCAGCCTCCCGACTGCTGAGATTACAGGCCTGTGCCGTGACACCCAGCTTTGTTCTTTTTCATTGTTACTGGGTTACAGATATTTTTATTCTCTGCCACTAAAGCAAATTACAGTTTGTATGTGAAATCTTCAAAAAGCTTCTTTGTATAGGGTATACTCCCAGTCATCTTTTAGTTGTAATCGTGGAAACAGAATGCTCTGGTTTTCCAGAGTCGTGCCAGTTTGCCTCTACTTTTCAGCATCCTACTCAGTTTATCACCCTCTTACTCCTTTTACTTTCAGATGTCTTTATTTGGACATTAATTGTATGGTCACCCTAGTTAGTGGTGAGCCATGCTTGAGTCAAAGTCTTGACTGTGAGAAGAGAGCTTTTAAAATGGATGTTGGAGTTCAGCGCTTTCTGCTGCATCATGCTGTAGGCTGAATAATGAAACCATACCACACTAGCACTATATTTTTTATATTACATACCATTTAGGGTTAGTATTTATGATCCTCAGAGCAGAGATGATAAATCACTAGAAAAGTTTCCTAGATTACAGCAAAAAGACTCTAGCTTCACACTGTTACTAACTCTACTTACAGTATACTTAACAATGAGCAAAAGCTTTTGTATTTAGTACTTAAGTTAGACTTAGAAACTGTAGATGAAGCCTTTCAACCGGTATTCCCATTTCTCCAGAGTGCGTCCAGGGACAGCCCAGGTTTCCACTGGCAGCTGGAGCAGTGCACAGGAGTCCAGCCAGGCCAGCTCTGGTCTGCTGTGAGCTTGCGTCAAGGAAACCGAGTCACTATCAGCATCTGAAATAACAGGGTTGTGTTTTAGTTATGATTTATTAGGTTTAGACATATGTAATACTTTGTAGAATGTTACTTGATTTGAGTTATTTTTAAAGGGCAGGAAAATTTGAAGCTTTTTTATGTGTGCTCATTTGTGCAACGTTGGCTCCTTTAAAAAGTCATTCATGAGAAATTGGCGAATGTTCCTGGGTTCTACAAAGCTATTGTAATGTTACCTCAGTTGACTTTGGAATGGAGGAAACTCACTAACCAGATGTTTGGCATTTTTATTTTATTTTTTTCTGCAGTTATGTGAACTTCTGAAAGTACATAGCTTTAGATACTGTGAATCTGTTGTTTCCAGTTAGCCTGTTATGGACTTAAGTGGCAGAGACCCATACTCTAGGGAAGAGTTAATTTGGCTGGTCCCTCATTTGTGTGGGTGCATGTGTGTGTACCCCACAGGCTCAAGACCAAGGCTCCTTTTGGGGAAAATGGCTGTAGACTGGGAAGTAGCTGTGTGTAGAATCTGCACTTCAAAGATACAGGAAGCTGCAAGCTCTCCCCTGTGCCAGAAGTAAAAAGTATAGTGTTTACAAGTGTCAGAAAATTTGCACTGCTGTAGGGAATGGAACTGCTCAGATTTATTAGTGGACGGAGTTGCAGTTTAGTATAGGAGGAGAAATCTTGAGGACCCTAAGCTAAACTGGAAATGAGTATCTGGGGTAGTGGTTAAAGCTGCTCTCTAGTTTGGTGACAGTTTTCTCTGATTGTTTTGGGATGTTCTTTCGTTGGTCTAGCTCAGCTTGTTACCTGCTGTGGCTGTACCTGCATTCTCCCTTTTCAGGAGTCACTTTTTCCAGTCCGGCTGGAGAGGGTGGAATAAGCATTTTGAGGTTGGTTGATGAAATGAATGTGCAATCCAAGGAATGCCATTACTGGTGAATGTGGCATTGTTAAAGAAACTGGCATAGTAGGCCTACAGTTGTGTTTGTTGAGCCTTCATCAGTAGTCTTTTGAATGACAGAGAAAGCTGCAGGTCTGCAGGAGGTGGCCAGTATTTCTTGGTAGTCCCCTGAGAACCACCTGCCACATCACCTGCAGGGTGTCATTCCTGCATATAGGGACTTCATTTAATGGTGAGTGCAGCCCAGCTGGTGGGATCCCCACCCCGCCCACCCCGTCTCTTACAGTGGAGATGAGATGCCTTTAAAGGGCCTGGTAGCACAGTCAGAGCGATTGCTTTCTTAAACAGTTGCTGTAATTTGGCAAATGCTTTATTGAAAATTGCCATTGCCATTATACCATATGAAGATTTATCAGAGCATTTAATTTCTTATCCAAAGATGTTACTGTATTTAAAAGACAGTAAGTACTTTGATGTCAACAGATATTTCCCCTTTATTCCTCCCTTTTCCTCTTTGGTCCTCTTAGCTCAAAGTTATCTATTTCTCAATTTTTGATTGTTGTTTTGGTTTTGGGTTTTTTTTGAGATAGGCTATTGCTGTGTTGTCCAGGCTGCCCTTGAACGCACTGTGTAGTCTGTGTTAGCCTCAGACTCATGGTGATCCTCCTGCTGAAGCCTCCCAGGTGCTCCAGGTGCTGGGATTACAGGTGTACGCCACCACGTGTGCTCCAGCCGTAGACTTCTGAAGTGTCAGTTTTTGTCATTTGAAAATTAGCTTCCACACCTGCCTTTTCTACCTCATAGTTTATCGTGGAGATGAGCGATTGATTTAAAACCTGTAATTGCCTGAAGAAGATACAGGAAGCTGTTATACTCTTGGTAAAAAGCCAGCTCTGGGTTGAATGTTCAGCCCCTTGTGTCCTGGAAACTGAGCACAAGTGCTTCTTTCTGCCTGCCTAGCAGGGCCAGTGTTGCTTACTGTGACCCTTTTATCTGTGCTTCTAGCTCTGTTCTTTCATTAAGGCTTTTAGTTTTTCTTCTTTGCTGGGGATTGAACCCAGACTCTTCACACTGACCTACATTCCCAGCCCTTTTTAAACATTTTTATTTTTTTAAATCTTTGAGACAGGGTCTCACTAAGTCTCTTAAGTTGCTCAGGCCATGCCTGAACCTGTGATCTTCCTGCCTCAGCCTCTCAGAGTGCAGGGATTACAGGCATGCACCACCATGGCCAGCTAGCTTGATTAGAAAAGAGCTGTGCCTCCAAGTGTTCTGAGAGAAGTGTGTGTTAAGTTTGGATAACAGATTCTCTTCTGAGGGAACTTGCTGTGGTCTGAATGTACAGAAATCCTTAAGGGCACTGCCAGTGCACAGAAAACACGCAGTTTTCCAGATATTTCTGATGAGAGTCACAGTTTACAGGAGTAGCAAATGCAGTTTCCTGAAATGGGAAAGAAAAGGCAATTCACAGTAACTTGGGATAGTGGTCCACTTGAGACATTACCGTGTACTCTCGCATGGTTTTATAGATGCCGCTAAGCCACTAGCTCTACATTTTTGGTGTTTGCACTATGTAATGCTTTCAATGCTTTTTGACTTTATTGTTTGTGTATTAAATATTTTTATTTTCATTCCGTGTTGTCATTATTGGGGAAATACATTATTCTGTTTATAGCTTAATCTCATTGATTGGATTTGGAGAAGTTGATGGATTTACAATCAGCAGCTTTCCCTCAAGTTACCTATTGGAGTAATTGCTGTATTTCATTTTTAGGTTCCTAAATGTAAAAGAATCCTTTAAACTTTGTAGTTTTTTCCTAACAAGTACCAAAGGTCTCATGTATGCTAGGTAGCATATAGCCACTGGGCTATATCCC